TTCAACTACTTCAACAACGTGAACTACTGTGTATGTACAGTAATTGCTTTTTACATTTTGCGTCTTACCCCTGACACTCATTCATCTATCCATCCATTTTCTAAAAGCATTATCCTATTCAGGTCCCATGGGAGTTGGAGCTGGCAAGCAACAGACACAAGGCAGGGTACACCCTGGATGGGACACCAAAGGACCAAACTTGCAGAAAAAAAAACAATAAATTATATTATTGCCAACAGAGTTAAAAGCTGTAATTCAGAGAAGAGGATTTAGACTTTCCACTCCTTTCTTTTTGTATGATGTGTAGTAAGAGCTGACAGTGGTGTCAGTTTGTCAGCACACATGCTTCCAGAAAAAATATGTTTTATTTAAAATCTAATAAATTTGCATATGAGTAGGAATCCTGTGATACAGTATGTGACTGTTTGTAGTCCATCGGGAGTGGTGGATACAGTCCCTACAGTATATACAGTACAATAGCCTTGAGGACATCAAAAATGTAGATTTTATTAATTAATTTATGCAAACGTGCATCTTATCTTATGCCTTTTTTATATACCAACTCATTTATCTATTGTTTTACCTTTCTGGACCTTTCTGTATTGGATCGTTTATAAATATTGTACAGTATATAGTGCACTCACATGCATGCATACAAAGCCAAGCACAAATCAGTTCATTTTCACCCATCACTTGTACCCTCCAAGCATGCACAGCTTTCATTTTCTGATTGCAGTGTGAAGGTGGAAGAAATTAACAAAAGCTAAATCAATCTGTGCTCACCTCAGCAGGTTTAGAATGTATTGAGACAGACATATCTGCTTAATTCATTTTTATTAAATCTTTTAAATATGAAACACTGCACAAGAAACACAATATGTAACATCAAATTAGGAAAGAGACTTAACTGACACTTTTTTATGTTTGTCATCGGCAAGAAAATGTGTAACTCTAAAATCAAAACCTTTAGTAAAATTATTACCATTTGAAGGGATTTTAATTTAGAACTGTCAATTTATTTATTTTTTATAAACACTTGAAGAGCATTGTTAGTATTACGGTGAAGTTCAAATTATATTTTTTGAAACTATCATAACAGCCTGTCAGGAACATGTGTTGGGCACTTGGCTCATGGCTTGATGGGGGTTTTTGAAAGCAGAGACAGTACAGTACATCTGCCTTGAGAACTGATGATCCTGATCCAATGCTGTCAAGTCCTGAATTGGCCGACTGCTCAATCTGACAGTTCTGTACTTTATTTAGCCAAATCAAATTTTCTTAAAAAAAAACATTGTAAATGTAAGTAATGGCAAATTGTAAGTGTAGGCAATGTTCTGCATATGCAAGACATAATCTTTTCAGGATGTTTTATTAATTTCAAACTAAGGCATGCTTCACTTTTCAGACTACACGTAAGGTCTCATTCTCCCATGCCCGTATAATGTACATTTGGGAAATACTGTAAATTAAGAGGATTATCCTCGTTCATTAATTTTCAGCCAAATTCCCACTGCAGCCAAATTCCCACTGCAAATAGACTTTTTTCAGTCCACAAATGTAAAAAAAAAAAGTGATGAACTTTTTTCAATATACAGTAAACCTGGGAATGTAACACTAAAGAAAAATTAAGTTATGACTTTCAGGCATTGGAGTAATAAATTTAAACAATTTAATAAGGTTTTATGGTTGAATAGGAAACTTATTAAGTTTTAGGTATTTTTAGAAACAAATGACGGCCAATTTTAAAATTAACTACCAGATACAAACATTATCAGAATGCTGCTTGTCCTGTTGAGGGAGATGATCTAATGATACCCAAAGATGCCCTGTCCATCACATGATCAAAGAGAAAGGGACTACGCAGACTTTAGGGGCACCACAGAAGAGAATACTGTACTTATATATACTGTAATGTTTAGAGAATTATACTCAAGACGCAACAACCCTAGCCACCATTCCAACAGTATAAAATGAAACTGGCCCTCTCTGTCCCCTGGGCTGAAACTATCAATTATAAAGTAATTATATCTTAAAAGGACTTACTGTATAGTCATCTTTTTTCTGATGGTAGGCCAATCAAGAATAATAGTGGCTGTGGTCTTAAATTTTTGTCAATTTGTTTGTGATAAACATCCTTTGAGTAAGTTATTTGCTTCTATTTTTCATCTTTCCCACAGTTATATATTTCAATAATTCATAACATTGGTGAGAAAAGGATACCGAATAAGGAAAAACAGTTGTAACTATAATATATTAGACTTTACAAAATTCAAACGAAAACAAAGACAACGATTGTTTTCTCGCCACACAGTTTGCTACATAGGTATAATCACCTACACTGATTTAGCCACAGGCTTTCAAAAAACAAATTACTGTTACAGCAGAGGAAAAAAGTGCACTTTGAAAATAATATGGATAGAAATACAGTAAATATTAATTTCTGCTACATTGCAAATCACACAAAAATATAATTAAATAAAACATGGAGCCAATATACTCAAAGAAAATTGATTTGTGTTCTCTCAGCAAGAGATTTTGTCTCTGAAAGTAGAGTGTAAACTCATGTATTTTAATGTACTGTATATGTAAAATGGATTTCCTGTTCAACAGAGACATTTATAACTGTTATAGAATGCAGATTCTAGAATAATTCAAAATGAAAAAAGCACAAAAATCTGCATCTGAATGATAGTGAATCTGAAAATTAAACTGTACCGTATATTCATTGTATAAATGTGCATCATTAATATTATTAATTTTAATCTGACATAGGATTGTTATAATTTTAAAATGATAGTATTGGTTTTATAATGTCACTTATAAAAAAATAAAAGAACAATGATATTTCATATAAAAACACACAAAAAAACATACAGATGGCTGGATCTGTTCTAGGCTTCATGCTTAAAAATATTTTTCCAATTATTGTAAAAATGAGATTGTTGACAGTTTCTTAATTCAAATTACCCGTATCTTACTTGGAGTGTAATTATTGATATGACCAACCACACTTCTTCCAAATATGGTGTCTCAAGTAATAACACATCCAATTAGCAAGCCCGTCCTTCTTAAACTCTCTTACTGTATATCACTTCATGGAAGAACGACTTTTTACTTTTCAGTTCATCTCCACAGCCTTTTTCACAACTTCCTCTTTTACCATGCCTACTCCATTGGGTCACTTGTCCCATCAGGTCATTTACAAATGTGAAACCTACAAAGCATCAGTTTCCATTCACCTTACAAAGACATGTAATTGGTGCCTTTAAATTGCTCTTATGTGTCTGTGTGCTGGGTGCAGTCCTGTCTTGAACCCTGCGATTCTGGAATGGGCTCTGTTAAACCGATTACAGGAGAAGGCTACTTTCAGATAATGAATAAGTGAATGAAATTCCTGTTATGTTTTAAAGATTTATAATAACTAAAGAGGAAAAAATTATTTAAACTGAAGAGATTTAAGAGAAAGTTAAAGGGAATCCTGAATACGATTACCTTTGACCTCTGACAGGGGGGTTGTCAAGGCTTTTTATTCCAGATTGTGTTTTTGTAAGTATTTACAAACATATGAAGCTACCAAGCTGGAGACAAATTGAAAAAAATTACAATGGGACCCACTGGTTTGAAAGTTCCCCTGCATGTCTTCACAAATGAGTGGAGATTTGTGCTCTTCCCTAATTAGTTTGGATAGATTACGTTCTTATTTAAGGCAGGCGCTCTCGCTACTCCTGGCTCTGCATTGGAAGACGGTCTCCCGGAGGCCCGCCTACCACCACGGCTTGAGGGCGTAGGCCTCCTATCGGTGTCTTGACCCTGCTACGTCTGGGGCTCAGAGCGCCTGGCCTCATGATCCTGTTTTTATTCCCTGTCCCTGTACTGTATCCTGTTCCGGTTTTTAACTATGTCTTGTTTGCGTCATAGATGGATCTACCGTATTTGGACCCTGGACTTCCCCCCGGATTTCCCCCTGGACTCCCTTGGACTTGTTTGTCATGGCCACGCCCCCCGAGCACCAGTTCACTGTCGTCACGCCCCCCCCCCATTCGTCAACCTGCCCTGATCCTCGTTATCTCCTCCCTGTTGTCCTACTCCACTCACTTCCTGATCATACCGCCTGCATAGGGTCCAGTACTAAACATCGTAACAAGTTCCTTTAGCCCAACACTATTAGAAATGAAATGTATTATTCTTATTAATTTATTCTGGTTGATGCTCACCTGTAGTATATTACTGGAGACTCTGTCTGAATACTTCTCCCTTTCATTCTCTGAAATGTGCTTACTCTTCCACTCCAGGAAAAACCCTCAAACCCTAGGATTTATTACCTCTGTCTTTAATAGAAACCAACCCCCTAACCTGCTTGGATGGCTTCTATCAAAAAGACCATTCTTTTCCATTCTCATGAAAGGCAAGAGCTCTTAACAAGTCAGAGCTCAATATGACGAGAGTGTATGGATGAAACACAATGTAATAATAATTATTATTAGAAACATGTGTGATCACACCTGAAGAAGGCTCCACAGCTGAAACGTTGTGTTTCATTTCTTTTCTTTTCAGCATGGAATAAACCTATTACTTGTTCCTTTGCAGCCTATGCATGCTGGCGAAGCTATCTACTTGAAATAATTATTATTAAATTATTATATCCTTACAATGCTCTTCAAGCATTTATTTGAAAAAATATGTTATCGTGACAGTTGTTAACCTGCTGCACATCACATGCTTGGAGATTGTCCATTAAAGGTAAACAATAACTAACAGGGATCCTGCTGAGGATAACTGAACATTGTCAGGCTTGTTCTGCAGATCTACTGTACATGATCGCATATGTTGGTGCATTTCCATACTTCCAGGCCTTCAGAAATATTTATTCTCTTTTTACTTATGGTAATATACTGTATTTTGGCCTCCAGCGTTTATTAGTGCTGGCAGTGTGGTACAGTAAGACAGGCTGGAGCAGGTGAATTGGAGAGACATAGGTTTATTGTCCTTTTCGTTTACAGGGGACCCTGCAGGCATTCACTGGACACACACAAGGAGAAAGAGGCAGAGCGAAGACTTTCCCCTGCTTTTATATGGGAGGAAGAAGAAAGAGTAGAAGCAGAGGTCATGAGACAGTTCAACACCGGTGGGGGGGTCGCAGAATGCAACAGTATAATATACTTTTCTGCAGGATACAACCTCCAATTAAATAAAAAGGTACGCTGAAATAATTATAATTATGAATTATAATTGGGTGCATTAAAAACCTTAATCCTATGTCAACAGATTTGCTACAGTATATGCAGCATATACAATTTATAATCAGGCAAAAAACGTACAGATCTTTCATGAAATATACCAGTTTTAGTTTTATTCAGAGTGCCTTCAGTACATCCTCTTTTTAGTTATTGTGGAAAGCCACATTGTATACAGTACCTACTACAAACTCTAAAATAATAGCACATGCACAAGTAGACAAATGGAGACACACAGCTTTATTCCAACTTACTAAACAGGCAAATGAGAAATGGAAGGAAAAAGTTCAAACATGATTTGACTCCATTTAATATGCTGCATGTCAAGCCCTTTAGTTTAGTGGAAGATGCAATTTACTTTGTCCCTTAGAAAAACGGGGCAGTGTTGTGTACCCTCTTAACAACACCTTTGCCATTTGTGCCTGTATGCTACTAGATTTTTGTTTGTGCAGTCCCTACAATTCATACTGTAGGTATTATGATGTTTTTTCAACCAAAGCAACCCACCAATAAAGTCTGTCAGGCATTTCCGGCGTTTATTATAACAAAACAGTATTTGTTCAGTTGAAGAAATTAATAGCTTCTGATTCAGTTGTGTGAGAATTGAAATTGCAACACAGAGCTAGCTCTACTTTATTTGTATGTAATATAAATTCATAAGATGATTCAAGGAGACTGACTATGTAATATTCGCTATAGAAAAATTATATTTTATTTTAATAAAAATAGAACTAACAATTCATGTAATTGAAAAAGAAGTTATTTGCATTGCAGGCTAGGATCCACTAACTGCAAAATCTGCAGTAAAACTGAAGCAATTTGCATAATTTAGATTTCTGTGTCTTTGTCAGAAATATAGTTTTAGAAATCTGTAAAGTGATTCAGGCTTAACTTCAAACACGAAATATTTCACAGCCTAAACTTCTAAAACTTCTGTTCAGATTTCTTTGACAGTATACTGTATGTAAATTATAATGCATTGCTATGGCTATCAAATCACATCATATTTTACATGAAAAGTAAGAATATGTACTTGCTTCACTTTAACCGCAGATTTTGGGTATTGTTTTTTTTTTGCAGCCCCTAACATATTTCTTGTACTGCACGTTTTAATCTCAGCATCAGGCAGCGAAACAAGAGGTATACCATAGATTTCAACATCCATTATTATTTTATGTCTGCTTAGAAAGAACACTTTTTCTTCAAATGACAGCAAGGCAAGAATGTGAAGTTTGTGTGTACCTACTGGACGTCTGCTGCACTCTTTTAAAGACCTTAATTATGAGTCCTATTTTTCTGAAAATGTTATTTTGCTTTATTGTAGATGTAGCATTTTAATAACAGATATGACTAAATTTAACTAATTCACCAACATGAAATTTCCAGAGATTTTTCAAGCTAAATTAATCATTTAAAAAATGTATATTCAAAACTACGTAGATACCTTGCAACTTGGAAGTTCATTTATGGAACGTTGCATCGACTATGCGTGTGTAGGGCAACTGGCTGTTGATGGTCTGTGGGTGAACTGATGGTTCACCAAGATTCAAAGACACTGTTGTGGGGGAAAAGTGTCTTAGCACCCTGACAATTACTAGATTGTGTAGTCTGCCACCAACTACAGTTCTTAAATTTCAGAGTCACTATCTATTCGCTGTATACCTGTGACATCCATTTCTGTTCATGACTTCTCTCAGTGTTTCCACTAAAGAGTTAGTGGTGGATTACTTACTTAGGTTATAAATATTACAGGATTCTACAAGAATCTTTTTTGAAGGTTGAAGAAGATCTGACCCTCTATTTGAATCTTTCCCTTTCTATGGCTGGTCACATTAATGCAGTCAAGATGATGATGCTTCCCAGATTTTTAGATCTTTTTCAGTGTATTTCCATCTTCCTACCTACAAGTATAGGTTTTTATTACAGCTGTTGATTCTCATATAACCTCATCTTGTGGAATAACAAGTCTCATCATGTATGCAATTCCCTTTCTACAAAGACCTTAACAGATGGGGGTATGGTGTTGCCCAATATTTAATTTCTATTATTATTATCCACTGTATTGGTACTTGCACCATTACCATTTACAACGTGTAGAGCCAGCTTGGATCAATTTTACCAAATTTTACCAGCTCATATAACTCTACTTCGCTGCTGGCAAATCAAGTTTTTAATGTCAAAAGCAACTCTTTTATAAGGTGTTTCTTAAGGTTGTATACTGTAAAATTCACTGAAACTCGATATGCTTGAAATCATACTTTTTCAATTCTGACTGCTAATGCTTTGCTTTTTGCAGTATACTTTAATACTTAAACACAGCACCTCGACTATCACCAAATTTGATGGTAGGCTACTACATTTGATGTAATACTAACATAAGACTTGCAAATCCAAATTACCCAGCTTCTGGAAGCTCAAAGTGCTGAATTATATAATTCTAAAAATGAAATAATGATATGTAATATACCTTTGGGATCTGAATCTATATTTCTATTATGAAAGTTCAAACAAGAAAGATTAAAAATCTATCTGGAGTTACCCAAGGGTTTCATTAGAGCTCAGAAACCTGAGAATTCCTCTGCCTACAGCAGCACTTTTTCACATAATTATTCATTTACTGGTTATTACCTGAAGAACCCTTATGCCTTTGTAAAATTAATCCTACCAGTCAATAAAATGGTGGTCGGCTTTCTCACCTCTTATTGCAAGTCAATATTGACAGTAAGAAATGGACAATATATTTTTATTCCACACCCAGCATTTGAAAAAAAAAAACAATCATGCTTTGCATCATTGCCTTTTCAAATGATAGGTCTTAAGTCCTGAAAACATATTCTAACTAAACATCTCTTGATCGTTATAACCAAAATAAGCTTATAGATCATACCACTAGTTACAGCACTGGTTTATGTTATCTTTTTTTGGTAAAACATTTGTATTGGAAGAGTACAGTACTGTATGTGCCTAAAATGTACACCCTGGTTGTCTTCCAGACAGTGGTCTAAATAACTACAAATTCTGATTAGGTTATCAACACATGTTAGAGGAAGTAGTGGTGCAAAAATAAGCAAGGCGACGCTATATGCCAATATTAAATATTAATTGATTATAGATGTGTATTTCTCTTCTTTTCAAACAATCAAATAAACCAGATTTCAGAAAAGGGAAAATTAAACTTGTCTTGCTTCTTATTTAAGCAACACCAAAGGTCAGTTACAACAATATCACAATTAGCATGTTTATAATGTTGATTACACAGAATATATTTTAATTTTGATTGTAAAGGAGCCACATAGTGATTTAATTTCTCTTCTACAGTACTTTGCATCAACAGGAAAATCTTGTGGATCATGGATCTGTCATAGACAAATACTGTTCTTATGGTTATTGACAACTATCAAGCAATGGTTGTGGTAAGGACCAAAACTTTTTTTTTAACACCCCAACTGCAGTGTAGAAGTAGTAATTATTATATTACAAATGCTAGCATTTTCTCTCTAACAAGTAAACACAAATTACAAAGATACTGTATAAAAAGTTATAGCTACTACGGTAGCATTCACAAAATAATATGTGGCAGTGGAAGTTGATTTTGTAAATACAGTATTATGTTTTGAAATTATTTTAAACATTTAACAGGGAGCCAATAATCATAAACTATTAACTATTTTAGTTCAAAATCCATACTTTTTGGACAGTTTGTCTTTCAGTTTCTCAAGAGTATTTGTTTTATACAGTATGTTCCTTTATAGTTCATACAGTAGTTTTTGCTTTTTAGCTTTCTCTATTACTACATAATCCTCACTTTAGGCTATTTATACCATAGGGTAGATGCTTTTGTTTTTAATCACCACAATATTGTTTAAGTGATAATAAGTGATTTTTTGTAGTCATGATATGAAAATTATTCCCAAAGCAGCTGAATAATTAAATATTAAATTATTGAAATGTAGAACCAAATGGAGAAAATTGTGTAACTGAAAGTAACAGAAAGACATGGATAAAATATATCTAAATAAAAAGATAGAAAGAGAAGAGAAAAGAGAATGTGAGCATTATGAGTGGAACTCCCAAAATAGTGAAGTAGCAATTTGTAGGAAGAAAAGCTTTGAAAACCTTTGAGGAAAAAACCAACAACAAAATAACTCTGCAAGTGCATTCAACCAGTGCTTTTATTCCCACTCATCTCAGTAATGATAATAGATGGGTGTATGTGTGTAAGTGTATGTACTGTACTTGTATTAGAAAAGAGGTAATTTAGGGAGTGGGAGGTGTTTTAGTGTGGTCTGAATAACACATCACTCCACATGTTTCTACAACTGTTTAAGGAAGGTGCCTACAAATCTTCTTTGTTTTCTTATCCATTTTGATTAACAATTTAATAGATTTAAATCTGAAATCTTGAAGCTCATTTTCAGGATGGAAAAACAGTTTGTAGTCATAGACTGAAACAAAAGTGTGTTCTTAAGAGGGCTGTCAGTCTGACTTCACAAAGCTGTTTTGTGTAAAATCACTATCTGGCATCATGGTGTAGGAGTACTTGATGAAATTAGACACCAATCAAACATAATAATGTACAGTCTCACACATGGATTCTAAAAATACAAAATACAATTTATTGATATAACCAAAACATGCATAACAAGCTTCTTTAAAATAAAATTAATTACTATAATATGTTGCAATTGAACTCATAGGTTCTGTGAGAATTATGATGTGATTAATGAAGTGATACTCAACAATCCACTGTCCAAACATCCATGATGAGTTTAAACTTTGCACAAATAAAAACCTGGCTGGATTTCAGTGTCAGCTTCTTGGTACTGACAGGGCACCGACACAGGAAAGACAAAGAGCTTTTACCTTGTTTTGCTGAACAGTTTGCATTGGCCTCAGACAGCTCTTCCAAAGTAGCACCCTCCTAACTCTAGTCTTTAAAACAGCCTGTGCATAGTGTCTTTT